GATAGATAGATAGATAGATAGATATATATATAGATAGCTAGATAGAGAGATAGAGAGAGAAAGAGAGAAAGAGAGAAAGAGAGAGAGAGACAGACAGACAGATAGACAGACGGACAGACAGACAGACAGACAGACAGACAGACAGACAGACACAGAGATAGAGATAAAGTCGTTGGGAAATACTTTTAACTATCTGTCAAACTGTTTCTATACATAATGTGAAGAAACAATACGATAAAACCCCACTCAGACAAACAAAGCAAGACTAAGTGCCACATGTCACTCCTTCCACTTCTATGGTCCACGCACGGCGTATCGCTCCGTGATCTCCCTCAGCCCTAAGTGACTGTCGATAATACTCTCTCCGCGAGCACAAAGGGAGCGCTACGAATGCACTCAGTCCAACCATACTCACTCCTTCGCCCGTAGGAAGTGACACTTGGCGGGGCTAGAAAACACACACAGCTCCCACTTCCGTCTTTTATGGGGTCACTTCCGGCTACAGAACTTGCTTTCGCAAGCTTAACCCTTTTAGTGGCTAAGGCGTCTTGGGATAACAGTAGAGGCAAGTCTAGGAGTCATCGAGGTTAGAAGCATGGCGCTAGAAAGGACTGCTTTCAGAAGGGTTGCACAAAAAAAAGTCTCATTTCGAGAAAGGTATGCTATCTAGAACGAAGACTTATTCAGTTGAGAAAGTAATGCGTCAACTTCTTTGTGTTGTTTGTTTAAGAGACGAAGAGTCAGATAGATAGATAGATAGATAGATAGATAGATAGATAGATAGATAGATAGATAGCGCATAGAGACTACTCTTGTACTGGAATATGCGCATTATAAAAGTATTTGTTTTTCCGTTATTATAACTGATAGTCTTGTTATCGAAGTGAAAGGGTTAGCATAACGAGGTGAAAATTGGCGCCAATTGTAAGGAAACGTTCGTGCGTCAAGTCGTCGGGTGTTGACGAAGGAGCGATAAAGATGAGGACCCTTCAGAACCACCGTAGTACTTCATCGTGGGGAGGAGGCGATATAGAGCTGGCTCACTCTCATGGCGTTACGTGACCTCTGCTCCATGTGACCTTTGAGTTGTTGTTGTTGCGCATCTTTTCTCGTAGATCTGAATCACGCGCTCCTCGCTCGCAAGCTCGTTCTCTCTCTCTTCGCTGTCCATTTGATATTATTACGCACAAGCTGGCCATTCAACAAGGCTGGGAGAAGCGCTGTTTTGGAGGATAACTTCATTGTTTGAACTGATTTATCGATTTTGTTTTCTTTATTTGAAATTGTAAAAGGCAAGCAACACTATGCATACTAGGAAATATGCAAATTCGTGTTCTTGATTTGTGTGTGATGGTCAAAATGTGCCACATCACTTCATTTTGATTGTTTCTGATCGGACATATTATGTGTCCGCCTCGGCTTTAATTAATAGTTAATGCAGTTAGCTTGGAGATGGTAACCGTGGACGTCTAGCTACGTTCGAGCACTTCTGAACCCCCCCCCCCCAAACAAACGTAGTTTTACATACCTGTGCATCTATCTTATACGCCAGCCCCGTTTTCTTTTATTCTCAGTTCACATCGTTCAAGTAAAAAAGTCTTTTTAGTCGTCACAGTGAATGGTTTTGTGGCATTGGCAGTAATTCTAATAAGCTTATTTTCTTACCCAAGTTATGACGTTTCTATTTCTTCAGAGACAAAGATCTAAGATGTGTTGTCTTTTTTCACATTGCAAGAGAGAATACCTGAAATAGAAACTTTGTAAAGAGATGCAATATCATAGCATTTATGAATGATTATTGTGTACAGGTGAAGTAATGCAGCAGAGGCATCACTGTGTTAACTATAACAGCCGGAAAACTTCTATTCATCAAAAAAGATACGGAGGAAAAAACCTCGAAACATTACACAATGCATTTTGGAGAAAATTGTTTTGAGAGTTCAGCGACACGTGGTCTTCATGTTATCCCTGCAAACTCAGGCCAGAAATATTTCATGGATTTACGTATTCGTCGATTTGAAGAGTGATGTTCTCCAATTTCGTTTGACAAGTACGGCAATATAATATGGCACACAAGAATCTTACGGACGGGCTGGTTTCGTTTGACGAGCATGTCTCTCGCTTAGGATATAACGCCAGGCAAACTCGCGTGGAGCACGGCATGGGTGTTTACAACTACTACAGCAACAGCAACAGCAGCAGCGGTGAGGGCACGACAGTTAGAGGGATGCTCGAACTGGAGGCAGAGAAATATCTTCAAGATCTGAACAGAGAGTTTTCGTCTGCACTTCTGCCAGCTATTGTTGTCCTTGGCATTTTGATGGTGGGTGCCCGTGTCTGTCTGAAAAAAACCCAGTCAGATCTCTTCTTATCTCGATGTCAAAATTGTCTGATCTCACTTCTATTTCTTCTCTCTTCGCCTCCTCCTCCTCCTCCTCCTCCTCCTCCTTCTCCTCCTC